GGCTTTGTTAGGTTGTAGGGGCAGGTCTTCTCTACATTTTGACACCATCCCGAGGTCCGTATCATTAAAATTGAAAACAAAATCTTTGACACACGGACACCTACTTTTTGGGGGCCCTTAAGTAGGATGTGTTGATACATCCACTGTAGATGAATCGACGCGTCTCGTAGGAGGTGAGAGTGGATGGTGATGGCGAACGTGGTCTCTTTTTACCAGGAAACGATTATTATTCAATGGTATAGAGGAGAATGTAAAAGCACAGGTTAGTTTCTCAATTGCAGACATATATGAATATTACAATTTCAGAATAATACAAGAGAAACTTTTCGAAAAGCAGTTGAAAGTGGAACATCTATGTCGATGTCTACAATTGTCAGAAATAATAATGATCAGGTGAAAATGACTTTATACTGTGACTTATACTGTGTTTTCGTATCAATAGAGGGATACTTTAGCATTTCAGCTGCAATTAATTGCTTGCAAAAGTTACAACTGTTCACAAGAAATATAATAATAACGTACTACCCAGCGTGCCCAAATGCAGTTTTTCATAATCAGGAATTTTTCGTAAAAAACCAGGAGTTGATCAGGAGATTTTGTTTTGAAATCACGAGAAAAACTGGAGGGTATCAGGCAACTTTTTCTTGGATAAGCAAAACAAAAAAATCCAACAGCTTTTTCAAAAACATAGTATTTTTTTGAAATCAGGAGAAAATCTTAAAAATCAGCTGCTGAAATCAGAAGAATTTTCGTCAGGAGAAAAGTCTAAAAATGTGGAGATTTGGGCGCTCTGGTACTACCATCAATCGTGTTAAAAGTTATTCGTCATGTCACTGATATTATACAACAACGATATGAGATTTCATGCTTTAGCATGAGTTGCCGGATGACTCACGGCGACATCTAATTTGTAAGAAAATGAATTTCTTTCTTGTGTGCAATACAACATAATGTTTTGTTAGGAATGAGGTAGCGTAATATATGATTACGTTTAAATATGATTGCTGTTCTAAATAAATATTTCTAACCAATCAGAGATTTGTGCTGCTTCTGCATCCTGCAAAAAAAAATTCTGCATTTTATTTCTACCATTTGCGAACGCACACAACTTTTTTGTTAGATCCTTTTGGAAATGCAACATGCTAGATTTAACACAGACCAATAATCCCTAATACTCTATTTCTTTAGTTCTACATCTTTTATCTAGTAGAAATGATAAAGCACGTAAAAATGTCTTTATAATGCGTGCAAAACGCACATAAAGTGTCTAACGTTGCCTGGTATAAAACTATATATTTGTTTCAGTTAATCAGCTTTTTACCACTGGTATTTATTCTGATTTTTATTTCATTTGAAACAGATCATTTTCTATTATAAAATGGAAAATCTTGGCCATACTAATGATTCATCAACGGCACCTGTTTCGAATTTTGCTATAGGAAGTGCACTTTTGGGCATTGGAATTTTAATATTCTCCTTTTTCTATCTATTTGTCAAACAAAAAGGAAAATCAACTACAGGTACTAATCTCTTTTGAGGAAATGCACTTATTTTATAACTAAGTTTTGTGATTGTTTTCAGAAGAATCAGATCAAAAGCCAAATGCACCAGATCACAAGCCATCTCAACCAACTCTTATTCCGCAATCCAAAATTGTAAAACCAGATACATTTAAATTTACGCACCCTTGGCTTTGTGCTTCGCTTCGTGGACACGCAAAAGATGTGACTGGTCTGGATTTCAGTCATAATGATAAATATTTGGCATCAACTGGAAGAGGTTGAGTCTTTTTTTTAATCTGCAAGGAATGCTAATAAATATGTCCGCTTTTCTTTTATAGACGAAAAGGTTTTTCTTTGGCAAGTGAAGGAATTTGAGTCTAGAGACCACAGGTAAGATTTGTCTTGTTCTACAGATTGTTCTATTCTACCTATTTTACATCCTTTAGAAATACTCAGTGTAATGTTGAACTTGGTGGAGCCTTAAACGTTAAATTCAGTCCAGACGGGAGGTAGTTTTGGAAGTAAAATGTATCTGTTCAAAAGAATTCAGAATATAAATTATAGTATTCTAGAGCATTTCTTATTAATTTAATCAATGAAAATATAATACGTGCATACAAATTTGCAAAACGTGATGATGGTTTACCAAAAGATATAAAACAGGTGTTAGACTTTAGCAAAAAGCACGAGCGTGAGATTATTGCCATTGGTATTGCTTCGAGTGGCAAGTTTATTATGTCGGCGTCGGCTGATACGAAGATCATTATATGGGATACGAAAGGTAAAAATAACTTATCAGGACTTTGAAATCACATAATGTTGTCCTTTATTTTCAGGTGAAGTTTTAAGCTCATTAGAAACTCATCAGGGACATTTAAATCATGCCTCTGTATCACCATGTGGTCGATTTTTTGGCAGTAGTGGATTCACGCCAGATGCTCGTTTTTTTGAAGTATGTTTTGATAAAACAACAGGAAATTTTAAAGAAGTTCGAAAAGCATTCGACTTGAAAGGGCACAATGCATCAGTGTTATATTTTAGTTTAAACAAAGATTCAACAAGGTGAGTATCCTTATCAAAATTGAATATCTTTCCTTAAAAACTAATTTTTATTTGTTTTAGAGCAGCAACTTTATCCAAAGATAAAACATGGAAATTGTATAATACGGATGGTTAGTACTACATCTGCTATGAATACCTGTTTTCATATGCAATTGGAAGCGGTGTAGCTAGGGGGCCACTTTTTGTGATTTTTCTAGCAAAAAGTATGGAAAATAGTTGTGCTAATGAGTTTCAATGAATTCTCATAGCTCGTCCAATCCTTTTTGCAGTTCAAAAAGTTTGCCCAATGCTCAGAAAATCATGGATACTCTACTAGATGCAACACAGACGTCAAATATTTCCTTCACTTAACTACAGCTATGTAAGAAAATAGTTTGGATAGTAATACTCATGTTTTGAAGTTTTTTAGTTGATTATGTCCATAAACAAGATGCAAAATGTTTGTACACTGGTACATTTGATAAAATCAATATGATCAAAACTGGTCTGATTGCATTATCACCTGACGCCTTATCGTGTGTTATAGCAATCGATTCAAATCTATATTTTTATAACCTTGGAGGGACAGAAAAAATATGTGAACAAGAAATTGTTGATGTTCACTCAGGTAACGGAGATTAACCATGAAAAAGAAGAAACACTAGGTTTAACAATCAAATTATTCGTTTTAGAATCAATTTGTTCGATGATATTTGACAGTACTGGAAAATATTTGGCCACAGCTGGTGATAGACAAATAAGAATATTTTATAATGTTGCAAGTAAGTTTTGTTCCTGATTATAGTTCTTATAAAATATATCTACTCAGTCGTTCAATCTCCTTCCAACTTCAGCTGATACTTATGATTTAAATCCTAAACTAGCAATTTTAAACTCTTTTAATTCATTATGACAGACTAGGTTTCTCTCCATATTTAGACTTGAAAGCAATGATCGATGAATTAAGTGAAAAATCGAAAGTAACAAAACAATTGTCGTTAAAAGAACGTATCGATGAACAGATTATGGACGCAAGGTAATGATTTTTATGCTTATTTCTAAAATATCTTGTACATGTTTTCGCTTTAATTTAGAGAGCAGCTTAACAAAATATTAAATCGTACTCAATGAATGGTGAAGGGAACTTTCTTTTCGTTTGTTTTTGGTTACTTTTTTTTTCACGTTCTTGTTGCTGTTGCTATTATTTTTGTTTTTAAGCGCGTGTCTGCCAAAATTGTTTTATAAAACAAAGATTTTCAGTAATGTTTTCCTCAGCCTTGGATCTCATGAGCCATCCATAACAGCTCGAGGTTTGAAAAGTGATAACTTTCACTAAATACCAATCACCAACCATCTGAACCATTAGATGGCTCGTGAGATATAAGGATTCCATTAAAATGCTGATAACTGCTAATACAAGAGAGATGAGCACTACAGTGGAGTCATGGGTTGTCTCTATTGACAGTATAAATTGAAAGTGTTGGCTCTTCGTGATTACCAGAATAAGGCTATTTTAGTACCATCGATCACTTTTTCAATTCGAGATCTTCAAAAAAAGTTTCATTTTCCAGTCTACAAACATAAAGTTAACTCAAAAATCTCAGGAAACATTTTACTCTCTGTATATTTTATGTAGATCGTTTTCTCCAAATGTCAATGTCTACTGTTGTATATCCATCGAGAATGAGTCGAAATATGCACAGGAGGGCGAGCTTGATGAAGAGCTATTCTTTCTATCACAAAATGTGCATTTAATGTATATCATAATCACATCGATTCGATAGAAAAAGTAGGTGAAAGAATGTCAGAGAATTTTAGCCTCTACCTCATTCTCATACTATTTTAGCCGTTTTTAGTAAAAGTACTGTATGACATTATGAAAGTGTCAGATATATGTACCAATTGATAAAGCAGTGTGAAATACACAAGAATAAAAAACCTACTGAACTGTTGTAAAAAGCATAATTTATTAATTAGACTTTAACCACGAACAACTTAGTAAGAATACAAGCTTTTGATTTCATACAAAAATCATCTTTAGGCATTATAATAAATGTAAACAGATTGAGCTATATATATATGTCATTGTTCAGTTTTTTCTTTTCCTTTTCTTCCTTCTACAGGCGACGGGTGGTTATTGTCAAAGTAAGCTTATTTTGAGAATAACCATCTGTTACCTTTTGCATTCTTATTAAGTTATTCTTTGTTAAAGTATAATTAATAAATTACGTTTTTTTACAGCAGTTCTATATCGCCTTTATTCTTATCAGATATACTTGAAATTTTCAGGATTTATTGATAAATGTCTCTACTAGTACGTATGTTTTTCTTTTTATAGAGAAAAACAGAGAACTACACGTTAGCAGCAATATCGGTAGTGTCTTTCTGATACAGTTTTGTGCTTTATAACACTTTACACATCTTTTTTTCCGATACATGTTGTTTACTTCCATTAAGTTCTCTTCAAAACATTTTCTGGAATGAAGTGAACATCATACACAAAAGTTGGGGTAATCATAGTCAAAGGGGCACAACCAGGGCAACACATACAATTTTATTTTTCCAGGCTATCATTAATCATTTACTTCCGATAAACGAGAATAAAATGCTCATCTATTCAATTTGAGAGTAAAAAAAGATAGAAAAATTCTCATTCTGCATTTATGCGATTTAAAAACAAAAAAAATTATCTTTGCTGAAACATTTTCACGTCTGTGGAGGATATAGCAAGTCTTACATTAATTTTCAAGTAGAAGAAAGCATATAGCTATTTCCTTTGTTGCACTCGTTCTACGAGTAGTGATAGGTCGAAATACAACGAAACGCAAGAAAACGAACGAATTGCGTAATTTTCTGTGCTTTTCGGTACGACCATACCGATTGTCGTTTCTTTCGTTCGTGACTGAGGTGGAATAAACGTTATTTTGTATAGAAAA